AAAGCGGATACGAGGCTCTACTTCCCTGTTGATGTACGATATGTTCCGACTGTTTCACGGAAGGATTGACTGGTATGATTGTCTACTTAGCCGATCTCACTGCTATTGCCTGATTAGCTCCATGTTGTATGTAGCAATTTACGCTTGTTACCTCCAATAACTGCTGGCAAGGGCGAGACGACTTCAGTGCGGGCGACGGAGTTCACGGACGGGATGGATCTTTTGATGGGCATCGCTGCGGCACGAAAGCGGTTGCGGAAGCTTCGGCTTGTGATTGACTCCTATGACCACAACCAGTCCGTCAATGAAAAGCATGATCGAAACGTGGTAGCAGAGCTGGAGGAGAGCAAACTAGCAGCTGAAGCAGCGCTGGAGTCTTTGGCCGCGCAGTCTCCAGCATCAATACTTCAAAGAAAATGCGCCAGATTCTTCCCCATATTACTACAAGCCTTGGATGCTCGTGGGTCGAGTGGGCTCTCGGAGCTGCAAGGGCTGGGGTATTTCCCCATGGATCAGCCGACATTTTTAGCACTGCAAACGTTTGTCAACGGCTTCCACGCAGAGTTGATGTATTCCGACGATAGCACAGGAGCAGAGAGAGTGGCGAGTTCAGCATTATTCTTCAGAGGCAATCTCTTGTGGAGTTCTATGGAGACGGCAACGATGCAGTTGCTGTACAAATTCCTGCGGCTTCGTGAAGAACGTGGAATGACGATGATGCGAAGTGACGAAACAATCCACGAGAGTGATGAGCCATTTTCTGATCTGACTGCAACGCGTAATGCCCAACCGGAGCTGTGGATGGCTAACGCATACGAAGATACATTTCGTCCTGTTTGGTCTAGTAAGCTTTCCTACGGAGAATGCGATGTCGTATCCCACACAGATGAAGCGCCTCCTTATCTGCGCGAAAGCGTTCGATCTTTACACAAGCAGCACCCCGTCTCACTCTCAACGTTCCTGTCAGAGGCACAACCTTCTTTTGGGAATAGTAATTTACTGTCTCCTTCAGCTTCAGGTACTCGATTTCTCGGATCTTGGAGCAATGGAGCAAGTCTTGTAAGCTTATTTAGCGCAATGAAGACACGAGCTCGGTCTATCTCCTTTCGTAATGCTGGTCTATTGCTGAAGGATGGCCACTTCTCCAAGTTTCTTCATGCAAATCGAGAAATCGCATCGGAAAGTACTCGGGGTGAGACAGAAGTAGTGTGGAGTCCACAGATCTTCCTCCCTTTGGGCGGCAGAGTGTCCACTCCTTTAATGACATCAGAGACGACTGCTAGGCATCGAGTAGTTGTGTGGCACGAAGCGGATCTCACGATGGTCATCTTAATTCGTCTAAACCCTGGACTGGAGGCAATTAACGCACCGGCAGCCACACTGGAGCAGCTGAAAAACTATCTTGAGGGCCAGCAGCGGTTCCAGAACCTGGCACAACTTATTCTTACGAGCTACAATGCTGCATTCGCTCCAGAGAAGAGGTGGGTGCTTGTTGTCGCTTGATGTGTATCCACGTGAGACTGACATGTGATTGCTACTGTAGCGTCCCGAATCTTCATTCGTTTCCTGCGTTCCTGTACATTAACCGTGTCAACCTTGCGTTCCGGATGCAGTATGTACCACGCCTACTGAAGAGCAAGGAGGACGACTTGTTTCCGATACCTGCCAAGTTGCTGGCGCACTATTTTCCATCGTCTCTGCAGAAGCTAATTAATGAGCTTCACGCCGAGCTACACAAGTCTACGAGTGCTGGAAATCGTGAGATCTGCGTCCGCACGCGGCATGCCGGCTGGGTGCTCGCCAAGAAGTCGGAAACTTCACACCGCGAGCTGTATGTCTTCTTCGATAGTAAAATCGCGTCAGTTTACGATCTCTCAGGTGAGTTGATTGTAGTTACACCTGGAGTTTGAACAAGAGAGGCTGACATACTAAACATGTATAATGCGCCGCAGATTCGCTTCAAATGCTCCTACACGACCAGTTCGGAAATGTCTTGTTTTAAAGTGGCAGCTGCAACTTTGTGTATCGTACACCACATCAGTTGTTTTTGTTTGCTACACACGAAGCCGCCAAAATGGGCAAAATCATCGAGTCGATCCGCAGCGCGTACGCAACTCGTACGGATGACACCTCGGCCCGCCCAACGGTTTCCTTTGAGTTCTTCCCCGCCAAAACGAATGCAGGCGTGTTTAACCTGCTGACGCGTGTAGAGGAGATGGGGCTGGCGCTGCAACCAACCTTCGTGACGCTCACGTGGCGTTCAGCCTTCAAGGACGAGGCATTGTGGCTGCGCATTGGAGCCCATATCCAAAACGAATTCCAGCTTGATGTGCTGCTGCATCTCACATGCCATCTTCCCACGGAGCAGCTCAAGCGCATCCTTAAGAACGCTCGTGCCGCTGGTATCCGCAACATTTTGGCTCTGCGAGGAGACCCTCCCATCGGTGCTGAACAGTGGTCTCCCGTAGAGGGAGGACTAAGCAATGCCGTAGATCTTATCAAACTCATCCGAGAGGAGCATGGAGACTACTTCTGTATCGCCTGCGCAGGCTACGCGGAGGTGCATACCGAGTCGTGGAACCATCCGGACTTACCGCCGTCCAATGAGGCTCGTGCCCTGGACCTACAGCGACTCAAGGCTAAGCAAGACGCAGGTGCTGACTTCATTATCACACAATTCTTCTTCGACGTGGATAACATGATTCAGTGGATCACTCAATGCAAGGACGCAGGGATCAGTATCCCCATTCTGCCTGGTTACTTGCCGATCCAGAACTACAGCTCCTTCTGTAAGTTCACGAGTTGGTGCAAAACCCGAGTACCTGAGAAGGTGCTGGCAGCTCTAGACGCCATTAAGAACGACGACGCGGCTGTGCGTCGATACGGAAAAGGACAGTCCAGGTGATGGCTGTCACTAGGTCCAGAGGAAAGATTGGATCCAGCCCCCCGATCCTCGAGGAAACATTCGTGAAGAGAGTTCGCATCGAGGGGATCCTCAAAGCACAGAATGAGGAAGCGTGGATCCTGGGACTAAAGAAGTATCTGATGGGGGATGTACGAGACTTAAGTCGGGAGGATGCCAAATCCTACAGCGTTATCGCTACGGATTACGCGAA